AGAATAGTGCTAAGTCAAGTAAGGAAGATTGCTATAATACAGGGTACAAGTTGTCTAATCTAAATACTAGTAGAACAAGAACAATACAGAACAAAAGTTATCAAAAATACAAAAGGTTTCTTTTTAAGATGCACAATTTTAAATCAAATACCAAATTCAAATACCTCTTATATTTAAAGTTTTTTTAATGCTTTTAGTAGATATATATTAGCTATTAAAGAATTTGCAATTATTTGGACACCCTGTACAATATAATTTTATAATATGATTGTTTTAATGCTCTGTATCACAGTAGACATATGTAATGAACTAAATATAATGCAACCATCTCTTTTAAAGTCAAATACATTTATTAATTTGTATTGCAGGTTAACGCAGTTTATGTCGCTCACCTATCTTCGTCCAGAAATGTCACTAAAGTCTGGGAGACCGTGTATGGCATTTATTTTATAGTTTTACTTTACAAAATATGTCTTTATCGTAATAAAAAAATAATTTCACAATTACACTCTTTTATTTTACATTTTTGCAAGACGGAAAAGTAAAATACGGCCCTGCTCAATTTTAGCGTCCACCTGCTTCTGTTTACATCAGGCGTAAATTAAATTTGAATAGACTTTACAATCTTAGAAAATAAAAATAATATTAATTATTAAAGAAAGCTGACTATATTTTTCAAAATAATTAAAGACAAGAAAGGAAACACGTAAAATTAAAAATGATGCAATGGTAAATTTACTCATTAATAAATTGGACATCAAATATTAGGTACTACCAATGACTGAATGGAACAAATTTTATCCTCGTATTTTCTAGATATCTTAAGGGTCATGGTCAGGTATTATTACTTCCTGGCGCCCACCCCCCTGGTTATTAATTTGTGAGAAAATATTTTACTTTTACTTATTTGTCAAAACCCACCACCCTTACCGACTCGAGTTAAGCCGCCAAGGCCCAATTAAAGTTTTACAACAACCCTTTAAAATAAAGGGGCGCAAAATATTGCAAGATTCACAACAATACAAACTTTACTTTTAAAAATACCAAATTAACAAAATTAATTAATGGTTTTAATATAGGTACTAAGTTAATAAACAAAAATATATATGCTACTGAACTTTGGCCAAGGCAGAAAACCATAAGAAATCAAATTTTATTAAAATGGTTTTAACGTATGAGTACTCAAACGTAAGGAAAATGTAAACAATATGAAACAATGTTAAATACCTGCTTAATGTAATAATTACACCTAAATACAATAATATTGTGCTCTCAAATTAATTAAAGCCAATAGCATCCACAGCGAATAATAAATATATAGCTACGAGTATTACAAATATATAGCGATTTTAGTAGAGGTCTTATGATGGGCCTTGTAAGTCCATGTGACGACACTAGGGAAGAGACCCAGGTGCACCCCACGGTGCGGAGACATTGCCTCTAAGCAATGTATACTTTTTGGCTCTGTTTTTTAGGTAAAAGTTTCATATTAACTTGATGTCAAAGGTGATACACCTAAATACTTCACCTCTCTTGCAAAGTTTACTTTTGTCTTTAGAAGCTCTGGAAGCTTTAGTTCCATTTCATCTTTTCTCTTGTAAAAATTATCATTTCTGTCGTTTTGGGAATGATTCTTGTACTACTGTTTTATAATTTTGAGAGCTAGTTGCATTCTTTTGCATAGTATTTTCTCCAAAATGCCCTCTTTACAGAATAACCAGGTCATCTGCATACGCTATTATGAAGAGGCAAACATTATTGAGGTAACTGATGAGAGTGTCAATTACCATGTTCCATAGTAAAGGTATTAGTATCCTTCCCTGTGGACATCCTTCCGCAACCAAACTTCTTATATTAACATCTTCTACACTTATGTCTTCTGCTCACTTTGAGAGCATGTAATGTATCCCACTATCTACTAACCCACTAACCACTAACCCACTTTGGAACATTCCTGTTTGTGATCTTGTCAAAAGCACCTTCTATATCTATTGAAACACCCAAGGCGGACTCTTTATTGTCCGTTCAGCAACTAGTAGTATAAGAGCTGGCAACGTCACGAAAAAAAGTATTTTAGGTTGGCTGATCTTTTGATATTTCTTTTCTTATTGAAGCTTGGTGGGGATACGGCACATCTGGCTGCTGAAAGTGATTGCGTTTTCTTCTGCACATCCTATTTGTGCAGGTACAAATTACGTATTTTCAAATCATTTTAGGTCGATTTCTTTTTTCTTCATAATTTTCTATATCCTTTTAGCAATGTAATTATAAAGTGCCATACAGTTTTGTAGTTGCTAATTCCGTGCCAGATGCTATTTTAGTAATTAAACAAAAATATATATTTTTTCAAATCATTTTAGTATAGCTGTAATTTTAATTTAATATAGTTATGCTATCAAACAACTTAAAATTAATTTGCCATACATAAATTCAGTTGTATAATAAGAAGCCGGACCGATTTGAGTCTCGGAGATAGTAGGCGATGTAGAAGAGTGCTGTCTGTCACTTTTTATGATGGCGTCGTCCATATATCTCAATGTTTGCGTGTTGTTAGTTGTGTTTATGAAAGGGTAAAGCTAAATTTCATCGTGATGAGTAACGGAAAAGAAAAATGTGTTTTTTGTGAAGAGAAAACTGGAAAAATAATCATATTTACTAATGAAAAACTGAATAGTGTGCACGGAAAAAAAATTGTAGAACAAATTTCTACAATTATAGATTTTTTCTCTACAATAAATAGTACATATAGGGACAGGGAAAATTTGTAGTAAAAATTTCCAAATATTTGTGGAGAATGTATTGTAGAGTTATTATCTACAATATTTAGTAAAAATATCCAAATGCATCATAAGAATTGTTCTACAAATTGTTATAATTTTTGCTATTCATTGTATGAATTTATATTAAAAATATATTGCTTTTTATGAAAATAAATACCAAAATTTTACACAATAAATAGTAAAAATTCATACAAATTGTAGTAATTTTTAATAAAACTTGTAGTAGTATTCCATATTTATTATAATTATAACCTAGAAAAAAATGTTCCTTAATAAAATATTCAATTTATTGTTTTAATATAAAAGATATAATATTATGTAATAAATAACAGTAATAATAGCACCCTCAGTCTCAGTTGGCTTTTCTGCACCTGAAAAATATGAAATAAAAATTAATAACAATTGAACTGTTCATACCCTTAAAACGGGGATATTTATCACCTTTACACTGATTTGGATATTAAATGACTAAGTCAGATAACTAACAAAAATGAGAAAGTAGGTATGTCACAATTAAGACAAAAAACATCATTGAATTTGACACAAAATTCGATCGTTGGGTACAACATTCGATCGTTGGCCACAACTATTTTTTTTTAAATAATCTACTAAGGTTATTTAAATTAGTTATCTAAAGGTAAATTATTCAGAAACAATAATAAATGTACTTACCACCAATAGAATTTATTATTAAAATTTTCTCAAACGCATCGGTGCTTATAACATAATAATGTGTTATAGGTACTCGTATATGTACCATGCTTTGTTATGTGAACATGGCGAACGGCTACTGCTGTCTGGCCATTTATGATCGACGTCAGAAAACGTTGGCCAATAGCAGAATTCTGTTTTGTTCACATGACTTAGAATTTCTACAATATTATAGAATATTTTTGAACAAAATTGAATATTTTTCATAAGAAGGGATGTAAATTATTACTATTTTTTGTAGAAAAAATTACTATTTTTTGTAGAGATAATTATTAATATTTGTACAAATTTTTTCAGAAGTTAGTAGTAGTAATTACTATAATTGTAATAAATTTCTACTTCTACAAACAATAGTAAAATATACTAAACATTGTGGAATTCTTTCCTATTGTTGTAGCATTTTATTCGACAATTCAATTGCTACAATAATGAATAGTTTTTAACTATAAATTGTGATAAAATTTTGTACAAATTGTTAAGTATTTTTCTACAAGTCTACTACTACAACATTGTAGTAAAATTTTCTAGTCACATTTTTTTCTGTGTGTGGAAATTTTATATTCACGTATTAAGATTAATTTAAAATATAAAAATGTTAGGATACCAGACACTGTTAATGATGCTGATGGATACCATAGACAGTGTTATAGCAGTTTTACATCCTTGATGTCTAAATATCGTAATCCAAATCCTATACTGCAGATTAATTCTCCGAGTACATCTTGTCCAATATTTTCAAATTCTCCAATTAATGTTTGTTATACTACTCAAGAAAATATTACTCCAATTGTTGATAATAGCGATCTAAATACGCCTTCAACTGATTTAGCAATTGACTCTTTTCACAAAATTCCAGAGTTGGAAAAAGAAAGTGTCACAGAAAGAAGTGATAACCCTAAAAATGTATACTTTTTTTGCGAAAAAGACCTAAAGCAAGTTAAAGAAAAACAGCAAACTTTACATTCTTCAAAAAATGAAAAACTATATGAAAAAATTATTGAATAGATGACAATATAAGATCATGATAAACTGTTAAAAAAATCAATGCCATAAAATCAGCAGGTGGGAGTATATTTTACCATCATTTAGCATACACGAATAACTACAATAAAACAATTAAAGATAATCCACGTACTACATGGCATGCAAACAGAGATATTCACAAAAAATTTTTCGACAATATTATGTTTTTAATTGATGCAGAGGTTATAAAAAAAATGTTGCTTGCTATTATCATCGCTTTGTGATATTTACAATAGTAACTTGGAGTATGAATTAAAACAACAATCTTTACTGGAATCAAGTTATATGACTCATCATAATCTTGAAAATAAAATATTAAAAAATTTCCCAAAGACCATTAAAATTCAAACGAAAAATAAAAAAAAAAATTGTTATGCACATGGATAGTAATTTAATAGAAGAAAACGATTTAACAGATCTTGAAGAGAATGATTGTATCCTACGAAAAACAATTTTAAATATTAATAAAAATAAATTGAAATAAAAATGAAGGTGGAGGATTTAATTAATGGTGAGTGTTCTATTCCAGAGAAATTGGAGAGGTTTTATAAAGTCTTTATTGGAGGTAAAGATATTCGTCGAAGAGATGGTGTCAATTGTGACAGATTGACTAATTCAATGGCCTCAGACGCTATTTTTTGTGTTAATAATGGAACTGTTAAACCGTCTAAACACATAACACTTGGCTTGACTATAAAAAGTCGACAAATAGTCGAAAAATTATTAATATTTTAAATAGATTTGGACATTGCTGCAACTATAAGACCCTGGAAGAATTTGAAACTGAAGCAATTATAGCATCTGTTGATTGTTCACAAATAAGTCCTCCTGACATTATCCGTTCTCCATTATTATGTACAGGTGTGGCATTCGATAATTTTGATAGATTCGTCGATACCCTAAATGGAAAAGAATCTTTACACGACACTGTTGGAATTATATATCAAAATATTGATAATAATGTCCAAGAAGAATTGAATGTGGATAATGCCAGTAATAATTCTGAAGAAACGCTACAAGGACCATCAAAAAAAAGAAGAAGAACCTTTGATGCTATTGTTCCCGATATCCTTCCATATGCTAAACGATTAAGGATGTCTGGACGTTAAAAACTGGTTGAGGAAGATCAATCTAATTTACCAGAAAACTTTACATTAATGCAATCAATTGATCTTCTTCACTTGGTATCACATTTTTTTCATGTACCAAACACTCCAATGTGGACAGGTTTCAATTGTAAGCTACTACCAGATAATAGCTTAAAATAAAGAGTTTCATATTTAACACCCATTAATCTATCACCTACTAATACAGCTGTTGTGGTAAATACAATAGAACAGGCACAAGCAATAGGTAAAGAATGCAAGCAAACGTATGTACAAGTCACTTATGACTTGGCAATATCTAAAATTGCATTAAAAATACAAGCAGTAGAGCAGCCTCGATTTAATATTCTTTTTATACATCTGGGTGAATTTCACTTAATGATGGCTTTTTTTAAATCAATTGGTACGTATATTAATGAGTGTGGATTATCTCATATGATGATTGAAAGTAAAATCATAGCTAGTGGATTAGTTAACGGAATTATTGTAGGAAAACATTTCAATCGTTGCAAACGTCTGCATCCGTTAATGGCTCTAGGCTTACAAATGTTGCATTTTGATCAACTCTTAAAAACTCTTAAAAAAAGTACAGAATTTGATTTTCTCAAAGTGCAGATTTACGACGATCTTTTAGAGTACCAAGACCAAGACCCTCTTCTACCATCAATTAAGTCAGAGGAACTCTTAACTAATGGCGTATTATCTAAACTTTTTTCTTCATACAAACAATATGTAAATCGAACACTGCAAGGCAATCATGGGAAAACAGCTCATTACTACATGATTTATATACAGTTGGTCAATTATTACGTTACTTTATCAAGAAGCATACGCATGGGTGATTTTGAGATGTTCAAATATATAATTCCCAAAATAACTAATTTGTTTTTTATGGTAAATAAACAAAACTACGCTCGATGGTGTGTTAAATATTTAGACAATTTAAATAATATTAACGAAACGCACCCAGGACTTGAAGATGATTTTAAGAAATGTTTCTTTGGAATTAAAAGAACCGAAAAGTCTTTTTCAAGAATACCAATAGATCTTACATTGGAGCAAACTATTAATACTGATGCAGCTAGACGATTAAGTGGAATTTCAGATTTTACTAACTCTATAGCAGCACGTCAACGCTGGACAAAAAGCCACAGCATTAGAGCTGTGTTAATTTCTCATGTTCTTGATGTTTGTGGGTTAAAACAAAATCAAGACGTTACTGCAGATTTAAAACCTAGTAGAATAAAAATGTATGCAAAACAAGTAACAGATTTTCTTAATATACTTGAGAACAATTTTAATCCATTCGATACAAGTTTAGATCGAGATAATCTTTATAATATCGCTACTGTCAAGCCTACTACTACAGATGTTGCTGAATTTTTGCTAAATATTGAAAAGAATGGCGATATTTTAAGAAAACACTTCATCAACGAATGTGCTGATATTGAAGAGAGATTTGACAAAAACAAACAAAACTCACTCTTGGTAATAAAGTCGTTGAATTGAGAATGCAAAGAGACATATTTGGTCGATTGTTGGGAATATCTCTAGGCGATAAGGTTGATATTGAAAAAGTACTTTCATTCCCACTTACGCCTTTGCCAACATCAATGTGTCATGCTGATGGAACTATTTGTAAAACAGATAAAGCACAGTTAGTCAAAATAATCGAGAAAACAATGGAAGACAATATCAATGAGCACCCGTCGTGTTTTGACATAGCTATACTAGATGGCTTCTTCATATTACACCAAATGAAAGAAATACCTCAAACCTTTAATGGGTTATCTAAAAAGGTTCTTAGCATGATAACTCAATTTAAAGCAAGTCGCGTTGACATTATATTTGATCAATATTTTACACCCTCAATTAAAGATTGTGAGCGTACACGTAGGGATGAATCGGCCAGCCCAGTTTCGATAGGACCTAATCAAATACGACCTCATAACTTTACTGCTCAGCTCAAAAATATTCAATTCAAAGAAGCTCTAGTTAAATTTTTTATTAACCACTGGTCTACTGACGACATGGCACCTTTGATTGGTAATAAAACAATTTACTTAAGTTTAAACGAGTATTACTGCTATTGGGTTGAAGATAACAAGGTAATTATGACCAAAGATGATTTATTATCATGTAAAGAACACGAAGAAGCAGATTCTAGGATTATATATCACATATGCCAAATTTCTTTTGAGGCTGACGTTGTTATAAGGTGCTCGGACTCTGATATTTTAGTCATACTTCTTGGTAATATGGACCATTTAAGTGCTTCCCTAAAACTTTGGATTAACATGGGCGTTGGAAATCATCAACGATATGTAAACATCAATGATATGTATAATATTCTGGGTAGTACTATATCTAAAGCTCTACCGGGTTTCCACACAATGACTGGATACGATTACACACCTGCAGTTTTCCGTAAAAGCAAACTTAAGCCTTTCAAATTATTGAAAGAATCGGTAGATTATCAATAAGCATTCCAAAATCTTGCTACCGATGACGAAGAAATACTGAAGGATGCATTTGTCACCCTAGAGAAATTTGTTTGTCATATGTATGGAATTCGTAATAGTAGCAATGTCAATGATGTTAGATTTCACTTATTTTCTACTTTTCTACTTTTTCTACTTATCAATCCAAAAATTTTAACGACAACTTCGAATTACAACAACATTTATTACGAGTTCGCTATGTGACAAAGTTTTGGAGAAATGTTTACTTAAAATACCCCACGTCGTTATCACCACTAGCTTGCGGTTGGACAATGAACAACAAATATGACTATGTTTGGTTCCTTGGAGACCAATTACTGTCATTGGTTGCTGATATTATAGTTCAAGGTAAATATTATTAAAAAAAAATCACCAAACACGTAACCACCTACTTACATTCCTTAATTTAATTAATATTTTTCTTTACAGATAGTAAAGTTTTAATATTTTTTTTTATGTATGTTCAGTGATTATTCTTTAACACGGTGTCCGATTTCAATAATTCTTTTTTTGTTAGAAGGGGGCTACTTCAGGGGTGGTCCCATATAAATTTGATCAAAATCTAATAATTGGGTCTATGAGAAAATCCTCAAACTCTTAATTTTTTATGTATGTTTAGCGATAATGCTTTACCACCTTGTCCGATTTATATGATTCTTTTCTTGTTAGTAAGGGGGTACCTCAGGGGTGGTCCTATATAAATTTGGTTAAGATGTGGTGATGGCATCTGCACGTTTTTAGAGTCGGTTTTTTTAAATTTTTAATTTCTAATACTTGTGATTCACATTGAAAATACCGTAGTTAACAGGTATTGCTGCATCTTTTTGAATTAAAGATTTACTATATTTTTTGGTACATAGTTATTACAACCTTAAATTATTAGTTTTTATTAAATAAAAAATAAAGAGGATAATTGGTGCATCATTAGGTAATTAGGTATAAAAATTATTCTCTTTGGTTTCAGATATATAATATTTTTAATAGAAGGCCGTGCTTGCTAACTTATATGTGTAAGAATGTCAGAAAGAACATTGAAGATCTTAAATCGTGCAAGAGAAAAAAATATTAAAGACAATCATGAAGAATCCTTCAGTGAAATCGACACTAATATTGAAGTTCAAAATATAGAAGAAATAAACTTGTCTAGTAATTTTTTGCTTGATGAAGTTCTAACGCCAGAGAACATTGCAGATATAATCGAAACGGCAGTAATAGTTTTTTCTGATTTTAACGAGCAGAACGCGCCATGCAATTAGGTTAGCGAAGATATAGCCTTTAATGCAAATTATATTGCAACCGAAGAAAGTGATATAACATGAAACATATTTGAGGAACCCTTGAACTATTCGATAGGAGGAAAATAAAATCAGGTTATGTTGGATGAGAACAATGAAAATGAGGACGATGATCCAGATTATACGCCATATGATGCTGACTTAGCAAGTGACTCAGATGAAAAAGTACGCACAACCTCCAACAAATTTTGTCAAATAATCAAAATACGGATAATCCTATTAACCTAGAGAGCAAAGAAGAAGAACTTATAAATGAGCCCAATCTAAAGAAGAAAATTAAAGGTATTAGAAAACGTGAAGTTAATCAAAAACTTCGAATGAGTGGTAAGAATTATTTAGGATTCAGGAAGCCGCCCGGTCAAAAAAACTCTTTCCATGTCAAAGCACGTTGTAAATGTACCGAAAAAAAAAAAAAAATAAAATCCAAACAAAAAAATGTGTCACTTAATAACAGAACAAAAAAGAAAGGCTATTTTTAGCAAGTTTTAGTCCGATTTGTCTTGCGATCAGAGAAAGATTTTTGTAGCCCAATCTGTGATGTCTATGCAAACAAAAAGGCCATCAAAGACTGAGAAAAAGTCTAGACGTAGCAATACCCTCGATTACTCCTTAACAATGGACAAGGAAAGGATAGCTCTCTGTAACAAAATGTATTTGAACACAATTGCATTAAAAGAATGGTCCGTAAGAAACTCTTCATAGTATTAACGGATTAACTGAGAATAATTCTGTAGTTCTGTCCAAAAGAACCTTAATAAAAAATTATCAGGAAGAGGATACTGTTTTTTTAAAGAACTTTTTGAAGTCTTTAAACGTTTGTGGTTTGGCGAATGGACTCAGCTCCCGCAGTCAAAAAATTCAAATAAAAAAAAAAGGCTTTAAACACGCTTCCTTCTCATTACTGTAGGAAAGACACAGACAGATTATATCTAGAACAGCAGTTTCACTCATTCGCCGAATTACATAGGGAATATTCGAAGAAATACGCTGGTTATTGGTATCACAATTTATTTAAACTAAACTTTAACAACAATTATACAACTGATGCATTAACTTCAACTGATAATATTAACGTTTAACGTCTATCATAAAATTGCCTCTGACGTCAGGTCGTCGCCTTATATAGCTTGCCTCGACCTTCTAAAACCTTCTCAAACAATCTGGACTTTCCTTTGAAAAGGAATGACATTTCGAGACTTTTCGGGAATATTCTTCTTCATTTACTCGTACCTTTACTTATGATGACCGCAGCATGCTACAGGGTGTTGCGTAACATTAATGTTACGCAGGTTTACAATTTATTCGAACTCAAATTTTACAATAACTCAATTCAACTGATACAATATCTCTAACTGATAACATTCACATGTAACGTCTATCATAAAACTGAAACTCTGACGTCAGGTCGTCGACTTATATAGCTTGTTGACCTTCTCGAAATGTCATCTAGAATGTTCTTGACGGGTAATGACATTCCACTTCTTGTTCTATCTGTACATTTCCTATGATAGCCACAGGCTACTGCAGGGTGCTGCGTAACATTGCTCTCTCTTCTCTAGTTATTCGCTCTGAATAACTTGATTACTGGGATCTGGTTGGAGCCAACCGGGAGGATCTGAACCACGGTATAGCGCTTACTTCTCAATGTGAACTACCTTGGGTTTACTTCTTGTTGACAACTGAATGTGGTAGATCAGGTCGTTGATTTTTTTGAGGACGGTGTAGGGGCCTTCCCAGTTCCGTTGCAGCTTTTGACAAAGTCCTTTTCGGCGCTTGGGATTGTACAGCCATACTGGATCGCCTCTCTCAAAATGGGTCCCTGTGGCATGCATGTCGATTCTAGCTTTTGCTTTATCGCTATTAATTTTTAAACGTTGACGAGCGAAATCGTATACCTTTTCGAATCTTTCTTTTATTGTATGTACGTTGGAGGAGTACGCATCTCTTCTTCACCAGGAGACTGCCTTCCAAAAAAAAGATCATGAGGAAGTTTCATCTCCCTTCCGGTGATCATCATGGATGGGGTATAACTGGTTGTTTCATGTTCAGAACTTCGGTAGGCTAGCAGATGTAGAGGAATTAAAGTGTCCCAGTCCTTTTGATTATCAGAGACGAACATTGCAAGATACTGGCATATCGTTCTGTTGTGTCTTTCTACCATTCTGTCGGACTATGGGTGTAGAGGCGTAGTGCGTGTTTTCCTGATGTCTAACAGTTTCATTAATTCTTGCCATAATTCGGATTCAAAATTTCGCCCTTGGTCGGAATGTAATTCCAGGGGGACTCCGTGTCTCGCAATGACGTTCGTCATAAATGCTTCCGCTACTGTCGTCGCTTCCTGATTAGGAATAGGCATACTATTTCGGGCCACTTCGAAAAATAGTCCATAACATCATCAAGTATTTGTTTCCCCTTTCTGTTATGCATTTGCATAGAAAACGATAGAATGCCTCAGTCAATTACCTCATTACAAAAAATAGCAAATGATATAAAATTATCTTTATTTTGCCCACGTAAAGATTTGTGCGACCTTTGTTTTAAATATAAAAACAACAATCTCTCTGAAGAAGATTATCAAGCACACATAAGAAAAAAAGACTCAGCTGGAGAAGAAAAGCAGCGTAATAAGGATAGAACGGTTAATGAAATGGCTAATGTAATAACCAACGATGTGCAGGCCGTAAAACTAGCCCCATCTTTAGCTGCAAGTTCGTTGTATTATAGAACAAAATTATGCAATCACAATTTCACAATTTATAATTTAGAAAACCAAAAAGCTACGTGCTACTGGTACGATGAGACGAATGCAGATGGATAAGTAGCTACATACGCATCGTTTATAATTGAATACCTGGAAGATAATTTTTTACAACCAGGAGATAAAAATCCAATTGTCATATACTCGGATGGCTGCACAGCGCAAAACAGGAACTCTATTCTCTCCAACGCACTACTTTACCTTTCAGAAAAGTATGAAACGACAATTTATCAAAAATTTTTGGAAAAGGTCACACTCAGATAAAGTGCGACTCCGACCATGCCATAACCGAGAAATCTTTAAAGCATAAAGAAATTTACCTACCAAGCGATTACCATCGAATTACCAAAGAAGCAAAAATAAAGAACCCATACGAAGTTAGAACCAAACCGTAACAATATTTCAGAAATTTTGGGCATAAACCATTATTAAAATATAAATCAATTAGACCATCAGACGGTTTTACGGTTACTGATATTCTGATTCTGAAATATTAAAATTATAAAATTTCATACAAAATTAATTATTCCGACGATGAATATCAAGTTATATCAAAGAGACCGTTCAAAATAAATAAATAAATCTTATATTCTTCACGTATACCAATTACAAAAAGGAAATATTTGGATCTACTAGAAATAAAAAAAATTATTCCCCAAGACTGCTGGTCATTTTATGATCTATTACCGTTCAAATACGTAATAAGCATTTTATCCCAGTTAAGAAGAGGTTATCAGTGGCGGTTGCCCGTAAGGGCACGTGGGCCCTAGTATAATAAACCAAAAAATAACTTACATATTTTATATTTTCCTCAATTCCTATTATTATTTTATCTAATATTTAGTGCAAACCGCGTTGGCACGACACTGGACGACCGGGCGTTGAGCGACGTTCGAGAATTCCGAAACTAATTGGAAGATGGGCACAAGGCACAGTAAATGTGTGCCTCTGTTGTTTTCTCTCTCATTATGATGCGAAAAACAAGGACAACGACAATATCGCTTAGCAAGAGATGAACACATGCGATGAATTATACGTCACAAGCGGGGCGCTGTCCTCATCGTGACGTGCTGTATCCATGGCACAGATTACCGGTTTCGGCTTAAGGTGCGCGATTGTTGGACCATGATAATAACTTATTTATTGTGATTAAGAAAAAACGTTAGTTGGACCATTGGAATAGTTAAGAAATAAAACTACAAAGAAAAATAACTTTTTTTATATAAGGCAGTCAAAAATATCAATAATATTTATATATGGGACAAAATTTTAATTTTTTTTTGGTTTTGTCTGACTTTTTCGGGGATTTCAAATCTCTGTTTGCATATTTAAGAATATAAAAATTCTTATAAATAATTTAATGGTGTACATTTTCGCAAATTGTTGGCAAGGATGACCAAATTCTATTTTGCTCATCTCAAAAAGGCATGCGTTGGAAATTCCAGGCTTAGTTGACAAACTATCAAATAGAGATATACATATTTTTTCTAATGAAAATATATCATCCCCCCTCTCTTTGCTGACCGTCTGCAGACCTTTTAATCCTGTCGGTCTAATTGGGGTAAGTTTACCCTCTGCAAGTGTCTGATGACATAATAAACACAGGCCATCCATTGTAATCTGGAAAAAAAATTATAGCACAGTGATAGAATTTTCTTAATTTAGGAACGTATTTACTCAATAAATTGCTGAAGAAGTCCGAAAAACCACGTGTACACAGAGCTTGCTGAACATGGTTATTAAAAATCTATGCCGATGAACACTATCAAGCGATTCAATTTGCAATAATATGACCGTTTGAAGTTTAAACTTGTCGGATAGCGAACGCCGAGACTATCCTTGATGCGACGTGCTGCTAATTTTGCGGTAATTCTATATTTTGCACAAAACTCAAGAAACGTCTTATAACAAGTCAGTAAAATACAATTTAATAAATTTTAAGCCTAATAAATTTAGGTATGTAAGAAATTTAAAACTGGAATTCGCAAAAAAATCAAATTACAGAAATGCAGTGTATACACGAGTTTAGGATCCCGCGGAGCGTGTGTAATGGGACTTTTGTCGGAAGAATTTTACAACTTAGAAACAACATACACACTGTAAACTTTGTATACACATTCAGAAGACATGAAATTTGGGTTTGCTTAATTTTCAGACCACAAAACTGAAAATCGTCAATTTTAGGCAACTTTTCTCAAAAACCGTGTTTTTTGGTCGTCACTCAATAAACAGTGGTAAAAAAAAAATAGATAAAATATATTTGCAGAATTTTCCGTAATGTGATCGTATTCTAGACACAATACAGTACTCAAAAAAAAAACTTTTGAGCCATTTTTGGCATTTTTGTGCCACTTAAAACTTTCGAAAAAAAAATTAGTTTTTTTAGGGAAAAAAATTTGTTTAATTGTCTTGGCCAATTTTTGGAAATTTTTTGCTGGGAGATTTTAAATTGCCAAACACCTTTTCTTCAAAGTCGTATGCTTTAAAATGCGTTAACAAGTTGGAATTGTTAGGTAAATTGCATTATTCTGAGAAATTTACGCAAATTTCGCAAGAGTGGATATGTAATGATTTTTTGATTAAACAGCCACATACATAGATAAATGCATTTTTAGTGGTCACATTTAGCTCCCTGTAGTCACATTCAGAAATCGTTATTGCCCCAACTGATTGTACATGAGGTTCGGTTTCCGTTTTATGATAATTATTTGAAACACGGTTTAGTTCTGTAAGTAAAATGTCATGCCATGTTATCCATCGAAAAAAAAAACTTATTCGGTCCATTCCAAATTTTAATAATCTGGTCATCGATCACTTTGCTAGCCAAAAATCCAGAATAATGGACTACATCTATAAGAAATAGTATACAACTGCAGCGGTACCTAGCAGTTAGTCTTCAATTTTGTAATATTTAATTTGTTTTGAAATTTATTTAATTTTCATTAAGCGGAGAACTTGTTTTCCAAAGGGAAAAACGAATCCCGGGATTCCTTTCCAGTGTGTGCCCCACTGTCGCTAGTTCCCCACTGCCGCTAGTGCCCACGAGCCGCCACTGGACGTTATTAATTTTTATTTTTTGAATTCAATATTTTAGAAATTATATTTTGTATGTATTATTATTATTTTTTTTTTTTTTTAATAAATTGTTTTTTTGAATACCAAATCATTTATCCAATTTCACAATATGCAATGTGCAATTCCTCTTATGTAACATAATAAGAAAAGCAGGACCTCGTATCCTAAAATTTTGAAAAACGAGGTTCTATCAGAATTTGTCATCAGTTAATCATTAACGAACTTAGTTTACTGCAATGGAAGTAACATATTTAAAAAATATATATTTTATTTTAATTATAATAGTTTTTCCTGCCTCCTGTAAAATTTTACTTCACTGATATACGAGGTACCGTACTTTAGCCCTCGATATGTTGATACCATTCATTAATATAATCGAAATAGCACTACAAACACACTGCAAAAATAAGTGTCCAAGAATATTCACTGTCTTCCGGGGCTAAATTGAACATCTGATCGCTTTATGAGTTTTTAAGGTTTACACCAGTTTGACTGCTCATGTACTCTCGAAATCCGGACTTTCAAGGTATTGTGATGTTTGTTTACTTTAAAACAACAGTTTATTTATTAATAATTTATTTTATAACACAATTATTCTAATTTATATATACTTCGAATGTCTTTAAACTGATCACTATTTATATTCACCACTGTCTATCTACTAATTACTATTTATCTTCACTGTCCATATATAACTACTGATAACTGATGGCTCTCCTCCACCAATTTATATACAAATTGGTAGCCTAGAATGCTCCCCCACCAAAATTGCCAGAAGGTTCCAGGTTATATTTAGACTAGAAATAGTATCTCGTTGACTCTGGAATGTTCGCGAAAGTGTCTCCACCATAGTCGTCCCATAGGTTTGGTCTTAAGGGGTTTAATTATGTATAATAAGCGGACAAGTTGAGCCTCAAAGGCCAAATAATACAGAGAGGGACTTGGAGTATTAGAGCATGACTGACTAATGAAATGGCTCATATTACAGTATTAAAAGGATTTTATATAAAGTTATTCTTTTTTAGGCAATTTTACTTTATAACCAATCGTCAAGTTGGCTCTGTGTAAGAGTGTCAAAAAGAAATCCTCTCTACAATTCACTGGTTATGCAGTTTATGGCTTTAAAAGTTGCAGATTGCATTGAAACGGTAAGGATAAATTATAGGATATAGGGATAAATTATAAGTGTATCAATAATATATAATCTAGATTAATTTAGTGTATAACAAGCTAGCAAAGGACGGTATTATCTTTTTCGGAAGGTTAGCAAAGCATTGTCTTAATACTTAGTTATTATTAGTTAAACACCTTCTTAGATCTAGCTATTAAAACTAGTCTAAAATAACAACATATCAATCCAATGACGACCTTTACGATAAATAATAAGGTACATTATCACTTACCAACTATATTTTTCTTTCACACCACACATTATATGAGATTAAACGGTTTGATCCTCTTAATCTTCGGACATCTTCTTGATTGTTGAGTAGTTAAATAACTTCCGTTGACATAAAGGTATAATCCTGTTCTATGTTTGTCAGCATACCTCCTAATATCGTCTTTGATTTAACTCCATATTTCAATAGTTCTATTTCATATCTTCTTTTCTCTCTCCACGTGTTTCGTGGTTTAGTACATAAACTCTTCTCCTTCCACCTCTATTAGGTCAACCATCTTTCAACATCATTTTCGTTTCCTACGACATAATTTTTCTTATGACTGCCGTGTTCAATTTCAATATACAATTATAATTTTTCGATGGGTTTTTATTCTCTTTATTAGATATAATTTATTATTTATAATTTCATTTTATTAACGTTTATTAATAGATTTATTTATTTTCATCAAGCCATCTATACTTACTTTCAGTAATCTACACTAAATTATAGGTATCTACCGTCTAGTTGTTAACCTATTTGATAGATGGTAGGTCAGTGGTTATACCATTTACTATCTCATCTCTATTAATACTTGATTTATTAATTTTACTCCATTTTAATTTTGAATTTGTCTGGTCCTGTTAAAAAAAAAATAAATTAAAGTGTTTGTAACTTGTTTTGTTATTGTTTTATTTGGGCGTGCCTGATGGTGAAGTAACGGTCGCCAATAAGTTGACTTTGTGAGAAATAAAGGACCTTTATTTGCTTTATACTCAATCTTCTTTAATAGTGGAAATTTTAAATTTTGTCGTCTATTCATATTGCGCATATAGGTACCAAGAAAATTTCACAATGTTGCTCAATACTTTATTTTGGAATAACTGAATTATTTTTGTTAATTATTATCTTTGATACAATCTCGCAACTGTATACTGTGAAGCCACATCTGTTTAAATATCTGCTTACAGATCAATAACTATTATATATTTCCACTTTGGAATTTTGACCAATAAGCGAATAATGCTGTTTATATTATTGCTGTTCTGTCCTTTTCTTCTTAACGTGTTTTTTTTATCGTAACTTGGTGTCAAGAATCACTCCAAAATAATTTGATTTTAGTTTACAAGGAACAATATTTCTACCGTTGACGTTCAGAGAAAAGGGCTGCGTAATTTTTTTGTTTTGTACTATTAACGCTGATAGATTTCTCTTTATAAATCTTAATCTTCCATTGTTTAGAGTAGTCTACTGCAGTATTGCTAACTAATTTTAATATTCCCTTGGATCTGTCTTTATCATGATTAGTTGTAAGGAAAGCAGTATCATCAGCTACTGTAGTTATGAAAGAAATTTAATTCTGCTATTGACTTAACAATATTATAAGCCTCTTGCTTTTTTGTCATTAAAAAATTGTATAGACTAAAAAATTATCATTAGTCTAATCGACCTGACTAAAATTGCTTCAAAAGTGATTGCAATGGTATTCAACTAAAGAAATGTTCTTTTTAATATGACCAGAATTCGCCCATAACAAAAGTACCTAAAAATCAATATCAAAATGGCTGCCCTTTTTTTAAATTAACATATTATTTGTTAGTATAAGGAAAACTGTTTTCTAAAGTCTAATTTTAAAAGACATGAATCTCGCAGATGTCTTAAATTATTGAATTACTTTATTGAGAAAAGCTGACAAACCTCGGTTAGTCCATGCAATACTGAAAAAATGTGCACAACTGGTGTTTTTTTTGTTTATGTGGAAATAATTTGTGTACACCAGGTGTCTGATATTGTAGTGTGTCCTGAGTGAAATGTTTAAGCCTAGTTTTTTCACTAAAACCACTGTTTTGTTCCTTTGAGAGACACTGGTACCGCTGCTTCGGTATTGCTTCGGTGTCCTCAATTAGTTTAGTCATGTAGTTTAAGGTTTTCTATCCTTAAGCTACAGCTCTTATAAGTTGTCGCAATTGTGGTTTGTTTAATCCCTTTTTGTGTTCCATTTTATGCAATGGAAGAGTGTGTATTCTAGTGTGTCAATTTCTTTATAATACCAGCCTATATTGTTGGCGTTCTTGCCTGTTTTGTATAGATATGTGCCTAAGACTTTATGTCCTGTGAGTCCTTTTATTGTGTGTTAATCTCTCTCACCTCATTATTCCATTCTTTGATGTCTTCTATAAAAATTTTTGTCCATCCATTTGTCTTATATGTTCTGTCACTTCGTCAATAGATTTTCTCTTTTTTGTGCTCTTAACCCAGCTTTAATACCTCCGTTAGTTCTTCTATTTTCAATTTTATTGGCGGAGTACCTCATATGACTTGTATAGCTGTTGTTGGGGCTCTTTTGTAGGCTTGTGTAATTATTGATATGATAATTTTCTATTAGAATTTTCTATCCTCTTCTCGTTGTGTTGGTATTCTAATGCATTTGAGATCCGTATTAAATTATCAATTGTTGCCGAGTAGATCACCTTTCTTTTCTTGAATCCTGAGCCTTCTAGATTTAAAGTGATCCTAGCTAGTTCGTTAACATTTTCTTTGTCATTTCTTTTGTTTTTATTGCGTGTGCTGCCATCTTTAAGTTTCTATGTAAATATACTTCCTTCCATATAGGAAGGTTACTGAGGGCTGTGACTTTATTATTGCTTTTTCTGGTCTTACTTTGTAATAGCATCACCATCTCGGTTTTTGTGGGATCCAGCTTTATCGTCATTTTGGCTAAAGACACACACGGCTGTTTCCGCCGACTCGGCGCTGGCCGTCTCTGCCAAAACACACGAAGCGGTTCACAAAAAAGTAATGCATTTGAGTCAAACGACGGTACGCGCGTCGGTGTAGCGTCACTTTCTCGCAGCGCAGCTTAATGTGAACAACTCCATTTATTTACATTACAGCATCCGCCGAGGCGGCGGCCAACTCGCTATCTTGTGTACTGCTTACTATTAATATAGTCTTTGCACTCATTGCTATTTCAAGTTCGTCTTCGTATACCACGAGCCTAACGTATTTTCTCATATATTGTTCAAGTATCTCGTTTAAAAAATATATTCCATAAAGTTGGCATTAGGATGGCCCCTTGCGGAAGTCCATTATTTCTGTGTGTTATCCATTATGACAGCAGATGTTCTAGAGACTCAAGTTTTAACCCAGTACATTTTAGATGGAGGATCCCTATTTGATCGTGAATTTTGGAAGTCTTGTGTTACATACCTACACAAACATAACATTTTTTTAATTTTGGCAGACATATTGTTGTCTTTAATGGCTACGATGGTATTTATTTCATTAAGGACATGCCTTACAGACTTAGCAAAAACATTGAGGATTAGAAAAACTACAACCCTGGAAAAACTAATGAAGAGCTACAAATTGCTTTAAACCTATTTTCTTCAGTTAAATACCACTTTAATCACTTTTGAAGCAATTTTGCTAAAATTTATTGGTAATTTTATTTGGTTTGACTAATATACTTATAATAAAATTATTGAATAAAAAACAATATGTATTTAAATGTTTCAGGTATTTTTCGTACTTAAAAAAAGCTACCGACAAATCAGTTTTCTCCATGTTTATCACCATTGTGGCATGGTGTTGGCTATATGGATGTGTTACAAATTTGCACTTGGTCCAAATCTAGTACATGTAGGTACAGTAAATACGTTTGTGCATGGAGTAATGTTTATTTACTATCTACTGTCTACTATCGATCCTTCATGGAAGAAGAACCTTACAGCTAAGAAAATATTAACTCAAATCCAACTTGTAAGTAAAAAAATGTCTTTATTTAAAATAAATTTTTAATAAGAGGTATTTTTCTAATTTTGACATATAAAGTGACATTTTTTTAAATCGCAGCAAGTGTCAAAATGATCTACTTCACGCAACCACTTGCATAATGTTGAACATTATGAAAATGGTTCCAAAAAATTCTTTGTCACCAGTTGCGAAAAGAAAAGAAAAATAAAAATAAACCTTTCTTTGTTTTAAAGTCAATAAAATACATTACTCGTTACATAAAATAAGGCATTTCGTAACTTATTTAATAAATAGCTATATTGTGTTACTTAACCATAATGGCTACTGTACAAAATAATAAATTCTTTTAGAAGTGGTACAAATAAAATTTTTTTACAAAAAATAAGTTTTTTTATCAATGCATTAAATCTGTAATTGATAATCTATGAAAAAAAGTTATAATAATAACTAAATTAGATTCTGTTAGGACCATGTATCCTGCCTTAATTTATACCTTTTTATTCTGGATATCCTTTGAGCATTGGTTAGAGTACTAAGTCTAGTTTGGTCTTTTATTAGACATTCCAAACAAAATGGCTGCTAGTGGGATTTGACAGGTTATGATAAGCCTTTTGATTTGATAAGATCAATGATATAGATAGTTATATAGATAATCTAATCTATGTTTTTCAAAATAAACATAAGCTTATGCCTCGAAGTAAAAAAGTGGGTAATTATGTTTTTTACTTTATTCAAAGGCTGAAAAATAGTTGTTAAACACATTTTTGCTAAACCGATACTGAATATAATTATTGAGCATTTGCGAAGCAATATGACCTCCCGCAAAAGACCCGCTTTGAGCAATCTATATAACTTTATTTATATAATTGACTGTCAGATACAACCTTAGACTAGGTAATAAAGAGAGAACTCATAACGTCGCTGAAAATCTTGTTCCATTCTGACACCAACGATATTTGACCAAAGGCGTAACATGTTGGAAATAAAAAAACAAACTTGTATGTTATTAGTACTTCATTGATCTTTTTAGGTATAAAGCAAGATCAAAGCGTAAAATTTAAAATAAAATAAGACACAAGAAAAAAATGAATAGAAATAAACTGAACGAAATCGTTTACATAATAAAATAAGTGTTGTTCTTTTAATTCTGCAAAATAAAACATAATGATCTACATGTATTACAAAACGATTTATTTTTACTTAATAAAGAATGACACTACCCAGATAGCACAGATACGTTTTAAGGACATCTTAAATACGTTTGTTCACGACGTTCGTGACGTTTTGAAGATCTACGCTAATATCCAAAAGATGTTTTAAAGGTGTCTATAGGACGTACTTTGTTACAAAACAAGGCCTCTTTAGGACATCTAATTTTGTACGTCCTTAAGACATCCAGTTTTGTACGTCTTGAAAACAAACCGTATTGGACGTGTTTAAGTCGTCTATTTAAAAAACAAATAAATGAATACTTGTCTACTATATTTAAGACTGTTTATTATACATTATTAAACTCTTAAAACTGACACAGAATAAATATTATTTTACAGTGTTGGATAAAATAATTAAAAAATGAACTTGTTGCTATGAGAAACTATTCCAGTTTGGTCGAAAAATTTCTTTCATGGTATTAATTTTAGCCAAAGCGTCTGTAACTAAAAACAACAAATAAACATTGCTGCAATTAAATAAGAAGCAAAAGTAAATTAGGATTTAATAAAAGTTAATATTCAGAATTGTACGACACGCTACTGGAAAAAATTACATGTTTGGATATTTTAAAATCATTAATTGCTTATATATCAATTAAAAGCATAAAATAAACAAACTTGGTGGGTAAAATTTATTACTTTGGAGTGAGACATGTACAATATGTAAATACCAAGTTGTATAACACCAAATAAAATAAAAAATATAAGAAAATATATAAAGTGAAAACGATTGATGTTTATCATTTACTTGTAAAACGTAATATCTGCTTATTTCTTGCCGCTGTAACTTTAACATTGATATGCCACACAATAAACCATTGTAATAAACCAATTATTAAATATCGTTTAATTCAAAAATCAGAAATAAACATGAATAACAACTGTAATGTCACTAAAACGATTAGCACCAAAATAATGGCGGCCAATAGATAATCGGCACAGACTACTACGTGTGCTCGATATACTTGTTACGCGTCCTCTCTTTATTACCTAGTCTAAGAAAACAACAGGCCCACAGAGTTACCATATCATACCCTCTCATTACCCACGGAAGTATTTCTCCGGTGTAGCTTATGGCCCTTAATTTTTCTTTTTTATATGTATAATATTTGGTATGTAATTGTATTTGTATTTAATTATTTGATGGTATTAATAAAACTGAATGTATCACTTTAATTATAGCTCTCCCTTCCATTATATTCTCACTAGTTCCTGTAAACTGTCTAGTGCCAAGTGTCAAATCTTCTTATTATGACTACTGTGGCCTTTTACTTACATCCTAACATCCCCTTATTATAATAGGGAAACACTTAAAACGCTAAACAAAATAATGGTATCTCAAGCTCTAGCTACTTACCTTTTAACATATCCCATATATTATTAAAAATAACATTATCAAGTACCATCAAGAAATCTATAGATCCAGTCTCTTCAAAGCCACCTTTATTTATGTTTAGACCAAAATACTTTTTCAGAGTCTATTTCTACTAGATAATCATTACTATTACTACACTAAGGATTATTAGTTATCTTATTGCTAGAGTCTGATATATCTATCACATCTGTAGCAACTATAATTTCTGTAGCATTTGTCTCCGAATCTTCAACAAACACTTCACTATCATTGAATTCACTAGAAATGTCATTCGCACAGTTTTTGTTTACAACGGTATTCACAACTTGCGACTCTGTTATACCGTATCTGATTCTAAGATGAAATTGGTTTTACTTGGATCACTACAGATCAGTGAGTCTATTTCTAAAGGTTTTAGTAACTTGGCGGTTATATTATGTTTTAGTTATTATTTATATCCTTTGCGAAAAAAAATATATATTATTAACAACTTTTAAACTATATCACACCAACCCTATTCCAAGGTATGGCTATTTTAGCTTCTAATATTTGTGATTTTGCATATTTAAGACACATTAGGCAATCAAATATATATTTTTTAATTTTATTCTTCATGGTTGGCCAAAAAATTAAATTTTTAGCTAAATGTAAGCTTTGTCTATCAATCATATGATAGTCTAGCGGTCACACCTATATACAGGCTACCTGTGTTTTCGCGACTTATATAAAATGGGGTCGACATTTGGCATTTGAATAAATTCATGGAATCTATAAATAAGAAAGTTTAAAATACCTGTGTGATCGATAGGGAGATGAAAATACATGGATTAAAAGATTACCTCTGGAATGATTTGATTTACCACTATACATGATGTACTTAGGAATGAATACCTTTTACATTATTTACAGAATTTATCTAAGAAATTTGTTACTTTAAGCCTTGATACTTGAGAAATAATTTATGTTACATAATGGCGGGCATAGCATCCCTTATCGCGGCAAACGCGTGTGGTCTTGATAATTGTTTTAGTAGCAGAGTTTCTGAAGAAGAAGAAGAAGAAGACAAGCCGTTAAGCGAGCTTGAGGCTGACGCTTGACGCTGACCAATGAGAAGTGGATGACGCCTGTGACGTATTTATTTGTCGGAGAACTTCTTTATCGGTCAAGATAGTGTAGATTACAGGGACGTCAGCAGGAGTTGCAATGCTGAGTGTAATGATGAATGTAATTCAACAGATAGTAATGAACTATTTATCAGTTCTTTGTGTAAACTTTTTGTTTCCACTAAAGCATTGCCTTTGTAAATTATCCCATTACATTCATTTTAGTTTGCTTCTATATTTACAGTATATTTTAACACAACCTTTTAGTTGTGAATTGTTATCACCCCATCCATTTAATTTACTTTTTTCAACTCTTACAATTCAATATGTTTTATCTTTGAACTAAGTTCATTTATTTTCTGTTATGTTTATTTCTGATACTTTGAGACAAATATGTGAAGATACCTCTTTATCAAATTCAGTATTATTTTTGTCATTTTTATTTGTATATGCTCTACCGAGTGCATCTGCTAAAATGATATTCTTTTCACGTTTAAATCTTAACTTAATTTAATATTTTTGCATTTTCTTTCTAAGCGTGCAAAATATTTATTTAATGGATTTCTAAAAACAGGTACTGATCAGTGGAAAGTAATCAATTTCTACTATTACTTTCTTATTTATGGAACCGCTGTAAACCAAAACCGATGGCTAACAGCTCTTTTTTAATTTGGACATACGTGCACTGTGTTTCTGTTAATACCTTGGAAGCATATGCACATGGTAACCTACTTTGAAGCAGGACTGCATCCAAACCAATACTTATAGGATCTAGAAACACCACACAATAAAATTAAAGTAGTGGTATATTAGTAATAAATTTTTAAAATAAGCAAAAGATTGTTCATGCTCTGAATTTAAGAGATTTGTTTAACTTTGTTTTTGTATGTTCTCATGGCTGTATTCTGATATATCACACAGCGAATAAAAAGGATCTTTGAGGATTCTTCTCGGGCTAGTAGATCAACCTCTTCCTTAGCTTCATAATCCTGTGTGGGCTGGAATCCAGGATAAGGTTGGTATGTATTGGGTACACAGCTCTGTTAAGGCTTCCAAACAGTCCCTCACAAAGTTAGTTGTAACTTTTTTTCTTATTGGCACTCGTATTGCGCGCAAAACAATTAATGTAAAATCAATGCATTATCAATGAAGTATTACTGCAGTATCATTTGTCGCTGGAAAGACAAAGCGACGTAACTCCATTTTAGCTATTTTACAGAAGACACATTTTGGTGTATAGTGCTTTGCTAATGCATACATCCACATAGTATGTTAACTATAAGGAGGGGAGATACGCCCATCATAGATATATATTTTAACAGATTTGTGGCGGTCTTAAGTCAAATTGGGCAATTTTCGACTTACGTCCCATTGTCTTTCCAGCGACGCCTTAGTATCATTGCATCTATTTAGCATCAATGTAGCAAAGATCTTTATTTGAAATAATATTAATATTCTTTCAATTTGCTTATGCAGTGATCGTATTATTTTAAATGATATAAATAGAATTTTGTCATACATTTTTTGTTTTAGATACAATTTATATTTTTTATTATCACCTATACCACCATTAGTATCGATGCCACATGCGATTTTCCAAAAGCTATGGGATACTTGTGGGTGACGCAGAACGTCTTTATGTTTGCTCTGTTTGCGGAATTCTACGTAAAGACTTATTGGATAAAACCTAAAGAGAAGAAACAGTAATTGATCATAATATTTATTTTACTTAATAAAAATATTTTTCTGAAAGTTTGCTTTTTTCACCTTTAGCTAACTAGGGTCGGTGGCGTAGCGGTCTCAAGCTTACATTCATTTATGGGTAAGTTTGTGGTCAGAGACAGAACGGTTTCGAATCCTACACCAGACCATGTTTATTTTTAATTAAATTGCATGGTTCGTTATAGAATTTGATATGTGCCGTATTAATAGAAATTCAATTTCTGTTGATATGACATGCAGATTATAAAATCACCATGCGTTACCGTCTGGATGATGGTGGGTGAGGTTTTCCGGGTTTTCCTCACTTGTAAATCAAATGGCACCATTAATCATCTTTAAGTCGCCCCGAAGCGCCACAGCAAATAATAATAACAATAATAGCCGTCCCTTCCCCTACATAAGTCGCTCAGTCGACTTCAAGGGTTGACATTCTCTCGTAAGGGGGTAAATTAGGAAGAGTATTATTATTATTATTATTATTATTATTATTAAAAGAAAAAATAGTACTTTAACTGCGACTGGTCTGTTGGTGCATCTGTATAAATATATCCTACTGTGACCATAATATCGAGGTTAATAATGCTACTAAACGAGGATATTAACTGTTAAGAGCAATCCAGTCCCTTCTGACGTCACACCGCACGAATCTCATGACCTCCCTTTAAAGTATTTGGAACCTTGTTTGCTACATAAATTTGGCAATGTTGTGTATCGTACCCTGAAGGGTCCGATTACAATTCAGATATAATTCGTTGGCTATCGCCGCCTACTGGGGGTTAGTGGCTTGTTAATATACGAATGTAGGAATACTATTTTTAAATATATTTAAATATTTAAATATTTTTTATTTATTGATAGTTATAGATAATATACAGGGTGTCCCGAAATTAGACGGTCATATTTTAACAGCGTAATCTACATCCTAAAATAGTAGTAAAAGTTCATATAAACAGGTCCGAAAACTTTTTTTTTCCGAGATACAGGGTGTTAAAGGTGAAGTCCTGATACCACACTTTTGTAAATATTTTCTAAACGTTTAAAGATAATTAGGTAAAATTTGTTACAAATACTTAGATTTTTATGCTTCATTTATTGGACTAAACCCCAGTCATTGATCATCTTCTTAGGTGGGTAAATTAGGGGGAGCTTAGGGTAAAATTGCCATGTGTGTCTGTGTGTCTATATCTACCATAACTCACGAACCGATACACAGAAAAACACTAAATTTTAAATTTAAGTTTTATTTCGACCTGACGTGAAATAGTTAGATTTTGGACAAAGTCGGAACATCTGGGGGGGTACTTTATGGAAGGCCGTTTTTATATTTTATTGAATATATCTGTTATTTATGTTTGGAGAAGAAAATTATTCAAATAAAAGTTACTTCTAATATTATTATTTATAATTTTTGCTTAATGTCAAAATTTCTTGAAATGGTCCGTATTCGAGAAATTTGACAAAATGTGCAAAATTCTAAACTAAACTAAAAGTTGTTTGCGATATCGATCTCTATAATTTTTGTTTACACATGATTTTTCTAAAATGGACCGTAATGGAAAAATTGTAGGAAAATTGCTAAATTTAAATTTTTCAGTATTTTCGTTTTCAATGATAACTATAGAAAAATGTTTCGAGGTAGATAGATGTATGTGGAAAATGTATATATTTAGTTTATCCTCTAAACATTTATAGAGGTACTGCAATAAGTTGTACAAAATAACCAGAAAAAGCCTATAATAACTAGACAGGAAAGTCATGTGTTGGACACATCAGATTTTTTGACTATAAAATTTGGAAAACCAATATTTTCTGTATAATAAAGCTACATTTGTTGCATCTCGCTAGACGCGCCATTTTCAAGAGAAAAGCATGTTACCTTATTCGAAAGTGTAAACAATAATTAGTAGGTCTGTAGAATTAGAAATTTTATTTTTTTTTAACTTTGAAAAACCGGTAACTAAAGAAATTTTAGAAAATATTTCATCTGAACTTCACTTGTAACACCCTGTATCTCGAAAACGAAACGTTTTCGGACCTATGTTTATATAAACTTTTACTCCTATTTTTAACCGACTTCATAAAAGGAGGAGGGAGGTTCTCAATTAGTCGCAATATTTTTTTAATTTTTTTTTATGTATGTTCAGCGATAATTCTTTAACACGGTGTCCGATTTTAATGATTCTTTTTTTGTTAGAAAGGGGGTACTTCAGGGGTGGTCCCATATAAATTTGGTCAAAATCTAATAAATGGGTCCATGACAAAATCCTCAAACTCTTCATTTTTTTATGTATGTTTAGCGATAATGCTTTACCACCTTGTCCGATTCATATGATTCTTTTTTTATTAGTAAGGGGGTACCTCAGGGATGGTTCCATATAAATTTGGTTAAGATGTGATGATGGCATCTGCACATTTTTGAAGTCGGTTTTTTTAAATTTTTAATTTCTAATACTTGTTTTTTTATTTATTATAGATACAAACTAGCTACAGGATTGAATATTTTATAAATAATTATCATATACATAAATAATTGGATAATTGCAAATAAGTAAAGTTCTTTTTAGCTAAATGATTTTAGATTTTAGTTATATTTAAATTAATAAAACCTTAAAATATTTATCCTTGTTTAGTTAATATCCATTATTGCAATTTAGATCCATAAAGACCTATCGAATTTAGGTTTTTAAATTCCACCAGAAGTGCGTTAAATATTTTAGTACCGAGGTATAAAACAGTATTAGTTTCGAAAGCAAATATAATTATTATCACAGTATAACACTGATTCGTGATTCGTATCCGTGATCCGAAAAAAAAGATTCGAATCACTTGATTCGAATCCTTTTTTTTTTTTTTTGAAAAAGGATTCGAACATTGGATCCGTGATTCGAATCACATCTCGTGATTCGGATTCGTGATTCGAATCCATTTTTTCGAGGATTCGTCCTAGCTCTGGGTGACGGCATCTGCGCGTTTTTGAATTCGGTTTTTTTTTAATTTTTAATTTCTAATACTTGTAGGATGTAGATTACGCTGTTAAAATATGACCGTCTAATTTCGGGACACCCTGTATATTGGAAATTCGAAATAATAGTTATGACGTAGCGGTGTTTTTCTAATTGTAATCGGACCTTAGGTATATGGATACGGAAAGTGATGAATTGGAGATAGGTAAATTGTATTTATTGTATTAAAGGAACAACAAATATAAGTACAATTAAATAAGTATATTAATATAACAATTTTTTAAAGTCTCTATTAAAAAATTTTTTTTCACATAGATTATTAAATTAAAAAAATAACTATTAAAACACGAAATGTTAATTTTTTCTCTTTTACAACACAAAATATACAATACTGTTGAATCAAAATTTTCTCTTGGCAGCAGGTGGTTTTTGTGACGCGACAATTATGATGCTTTGCATCTCATGAATTAAAGTTAATTCTCTTTCAATCTTAAGGACAGCGTCTCCTAGGAATTTCTAAACAAAATTATGTCACTTTAGATTCAATCAAGGAGGTGCTGTTACCTACCGACTAGAGATTGAATTAGTGCAAATTATTACAGAAATCTTTAAGTAACTATAAATATCGACCGACTAGCTATTAGGGGATATTGTATTATAAACCGGTTTTTAGTAGACTGAGTTCGAAGAATCATAATAATAGTCCTGAACATAAAATCTATTTTTCAATAATTGCCGGGATTTCACCAAATAAAAAAAATTATTTCGCGATTGTGAAAACGGTCCAATCGTTTTATATGCCATTTATAATATTATAAAAATGTTAACTCTAGGACTCATTTTGGAGTATGAGCATACTTTATTTCAATACTTTTATTGTACTGTTTCATAAAATATTACCTACTTATTACATTTTATTTTTATCGAAAATTGACTTTGTTTCCTGGACCAAAGTAAAGAATGTAGATGGTAACAACCAAAACGATATCTTGCCTTACATTAAATATAAATATTTCCTAAAATAAATAATTTGGTTTATATACGGGTAGTAATACGAGGGATGTTTATAATTTCAAGTGACGAATATAGAGTCGTTTCAAAATATATTGCGACAATAATTGCGTCACATTGAGTCGGAGTGGGACGCTTATTGACGTGTTGCAATTCGCAATATATTTTAAAACTATTCTACCTAATTAATAAATTGTGATTTTGAAGTATCGAATGAAAACTATATTCTCATTGGTTAAAGATGGAAGTTTTTGTCATTTGAATGTTCAAGACTATTAATTGTGATTAATTGGTTAAACACCGAAGTTATCTGTTATCTGATGTTGGTACTAACCTAATGTTTTTGGGTAATTTTGACTGTCATTTCCTGGAATTTCCAGACCCGCATAAATATTTATCCTATTAAAGTACAAAAACCCTACAATAGATATTATGAGTAGGTATTTAACATTCATATATCTTATCTTATCTTAGGTAGTTATTTCCCTGATTGTCAATAACACATTACCGTATATCTGTGCCAATATGACGTCACGACTTTTAATATACTTAATGAAGGCTGGGGGAAGGAGTTAAGAGTCTATAAATTTACAAACAAGCTTACGGGTATTTAGTTTTCAAAATTACATTACACGTTTCTGAAGTGTTTTATTGTGCTGTTTGTTTTTAATAAGTGTTATTTTCTTTAATAGAAAATTTATTTATTTGTGCCAAGTGTCCTAGTGTACATTTTAATCAGTTTTATTTTTGGATAAATTGACATCGACTTCCTGCATTAAAGGTAGGTAGTATTTTTTTTCTATCACTCTCGAGTTCGTCATTGAATAAAAAAATTAAACGCTATAATTTTAACATTCAAACATTTGCAATTAAAAAATAATATTGCGTATTAAATTGACAATAAAAAAACTTGTTATTTAATAATAATGTTTCATTATTCTGAATATATTTTTTCTACGATTAATATCCAAAGTAGGTAGGCTTTTGCACATTAAAATCTAAATAAAAAGTTGACGTTTTCTGCGAATTGTCATAATTTGACATTATTGGCGCACATTACCTAATATTCAAACCCATTTCCATGCTTAAAAATAGAAGATGGTGACATTCATTTAAAAGAAAACCATAACTACTTTTACCAGGTGAAAAATTTCAATATGTTAAAATAATTCATGATTGTGCTAGAAATGATACTACAATATTAATATTCTTTTTATGTTTGATTTTCTAATAATGATTTTATATACTTTTAGATTCAAGGACAGCTAGGTATAGCTCCAAGAAAATTGTGCTACTTTGTAGTATATACTGGAGATGAAAATCCACTATTTGTTGAAAAAATTAATTTTCAACCCATTTTTTTTTTTTTTTAAATATGGTTGAAAAATTAGAAAAATTTTACTCGGAATATATGGCACCTGAGATAATTTTAAATAGAAGAGGACGAGGATTAAAATGTCTGGATACCCCATATAATGAAAATTAAAGTGCAAAGATTAGCAAATTTATAAAAATAATAATTTAATGGACTTTAATCATACAAGTACTTGAAATAATGGTTTTTTGCGCATAAGCATGTTCATAC